ATGTTTCGCTTCTCATCCAAGAAGCTTCTTCAGCTTTTTTCAGCATTCTTCTGCTTCTTGAAGCATTCTTGAATGCTTCTTCAGCATTCAAAGGGTGTTCATCCCAAAATGTCTATGGAGATTCTCAGTCATCTAGGTCATAGTTGTCCCAAAGGTGCTTTTTCAAGAGGCAACTGGACTTCCTTGGTTTTTCTTCAGCTCTGAAGAAGCTTCTTGGATGAGAAGCAAAATGTCTTTAAAGAAAAGCCAGAAAGTCCAGTTGCCACTTGAAAAAGCATCTTTGGGACATAAAGACGTATAAAGCTATATCCTTCTACCCTAAAAGAGGGAAATTCTGGGGAATGGCTGCCCTGGGCCTTCCTATGTCTCCCATCCAGTTCAGGACTGCGCAGTCACTTGTTTTGGGACCTTCTCTGGAATGTGCTGCCTCCTCCACTGTGGTACCACCGACATTTCCCGCCCCAAAGCTTCTCCGTCACCTGCACATTTAATCACCTCTGACTTAGAGCATAGAATAAGAGAGTTGGAAAGGATCTTGGAGGTCTTCTAATCCAACCCCCAGCCTATACCATTGGCGGTCTAATCTCTTCTTAAAAGCCTCCAGTGAAAGCCTTCTGGCGGCAAGTTGCTCCACTGGTTAATTGTTTTCACTGTCAGAAAAATTATCCTTAGTTCCAGGTTGCTTCTCTCCTTGATTAGTTTCCATCCATTGCTTCGTGTCCTGCCTTCAGATGCTTTGGAAAACGGATTGACCCCCCTCTTCTTTATGTAAACCACTTAGATATTGGAAGAACTGATATCATGTTGCTCCTCGTCTTTCTTTTCCCTGTGCTATAAATCCCTTCTGGTCTGAGGGTATGGCTGCATTTTCCACCCCAGAGTATTGTGGGCACAACATTTGGTCTGTCTGAGGCCCCTTCTGGAAATGTGGAGCCTTGAGAAAGCATAGAAGTGAACATCCAAAGTTCTACCAGTTTAGTCTCAAGCCATGGTCCTCCCCTTTCTGAAGGGCTGGTGCATGATATTTGTCCTCATAGAGAAGGGCTAAGATTTTTGGGAGACGCTTTTTAGATGACAACATGATAAGCAGGACATCCTTAAAGGAGCAGCAGAGATCGGCAACCAGAAGGTGACTTCTGGTTGCCTTCATCTCCAGAAAAAGGAGAGATGATGAGGTTTCCCACATGTGCTCCCCACAAGTGTATACTGCAGGGACGGAGATTTTTGCAATCAACCCATGGGTGGCTTGGAGTCGAGGGATGCAGTCACCATGTAGTCTGTATGGACAAAAAGCTCAGCTGAGCCTTACTTTTTTGAATTTCCTTTGAATTGCTTTTTATTTATTGAGAACTTTTGGATCAATATGTTTTACAACATTCCTTGAGTGAGTCCCCATCAATCCTTGAAGAAAGAAGTTGTAGGTGCAAGATTTAAGGTCTTAAAAAACGAGGAGGGAAAATAAACATAAAAAACGTGATTAGAATCTATTTTAGAAAGTTATAAATGGGTTAAGGGTCCAGAGGGATTTCACATAGTTATAAGAAATCTTCCCATGGGAAAATGCTATTATTTAGGAAAACAACACATGATAAGATGGGATTTAGAAGGTTGGACACCAGAAGGAACCTGAAATAAACCGAAGTTTATAATTAAAAATAATTTACATTTGCCTCAGTAACACAAAATGGAGCAAAATACTTTAATTTTGGATGAACTGGAGGGTATTCCTAAACAATAAACTCAAGTTAGTCTTAAGATTGTCTGCTATCATAGACAAGCTGGTTTTAAAAGAGATTATAGAATAGAAACAAGTTTTACTGGACAAGACTGAGGCTGATTTGAATATGGATTTTAAAATGACAGGTTACAATAGTAAGGACAAAGATGTTATATTGGATATACAAATGAAATCTTAGTAATTATAAGGGATATACAAATAAGAAACAAGAAGAGTGACTTGGATACTTATTTTGGATTTGCAAGAGACTTGTTGAAATTTTGAAGGATTTTTTTGAGAAGGGACAAAGACACCATGAAAAGAAATCATTTTTTGAGAGATTATTTAAATAGACTAAAGATTAACATTGTTAAAATTAAAGGCAAAGAATATAAAATTGGATTATTTGATCAAGTGTAAAATATAAATGTTATTTCTGGTAACCCCCAATGGATTTTTGCTGACCTGAATTGAATGTATAGGAAGCAAAAATGTTTTATTGTATTTTCAGAGAAAATGATAAGTTTCTGACATTGCTTATACATGCTGTGATGAAGGGAGAAGTTACTTCTTTATATATTTCTTTTCTAATGTATTCTTATCTTTTTTTCCTTTTCTGTCTTTTTATTTTTTGCATTTTCATTTTTTTCCTTTTTATTCTTGTTCATGTTTGTTTAATTTTATTAGTTATTTTTTCATCTTTGAAATTATAAACTTTTCCTCCATTCAATCATGTTCAATTCTCAGAGAATTCCTGGACAGGTCCCTGCAGTTTTCTTGGCAATTTATTTTGACAAATCTTAATCAAAAAAGGTCAAGATTTTCTTTGTGAGCTTGATTTTGTATTTGAGACTGATAGGTGTGTTTGTGTGTGTGTGTGTGTGTGTGTGTGTGTGTGTTACTCATCTGATTTTACGGAACACAAATTTTTGTGGAGAATGGAGATTGGGCTGGCTATTTTTATTTATACAGTGTATTAGGAGTAACTGAATGGTCCTTGTAGATTAGCTACCCCTTTTTATTGTGAATTTGACTCCCTGGGATTCTATTATCCAAGTTACGTATCATGGCATAGTTGGCATTCTAATGCACAAAGTTGGACTCCATGGGTGAGGGGCAAATCCTGCTTCTCCCTGTAACCCCTTGAATCCATCCAAATCTTTTCCAGAATCGAATTCCCCGTCTAGTGGTTAAGGTACCAGGTTAGAAAGTGGGAGAGCCTGAGTTCTAGTCCCGCCTTAGGCATAAAAGCCAGCTGGGTATCTTTG